GTTTATACATTCAATAATAATAAGATAACGATGCAAATGTCCCTTGTGTTTATACATTCAATAATAATAAGATAACGAGAAAATTCTGCAATCTAATTGGCAGGCCTTCGAACATGTCCCGGTGATGCATAAGGGAGCTTTCACATCCAAAATTGTCAGAGGTAGAATGTTATTATGGTTATTCTTGTTGAAATTTATATTTTGGTTTCGATTAGGGTCTTAAAAATGGTTGGACCGGCATTGGACTCGAGATCACTGATCTTTGCTGATAAGAATCTTATCATAAGATTTATTTACTTCCAATTTCCAAGTTATCTCATTCAAACCAAACAAATGTATAATTGAACCACATACTATTTGAAATTATAGTTATTATATAACTACTTGAGACAACATAACTATTTGAAATTATATACTACTATAATTTAATTAATTACTTTAATTGTCATACCAAATTTATGTTAATTGCCATAAGAGCATTGTCTAACATTTATCCTCAATCTTTTACAATGGCATATTGTAATAAGATATTTTGCTGTAAGTACAAAAATAAGAACTTGTTCTGGAAATCTTCAGTGTTGAAATAACATCTTTAATCATGTCAATCCAAAAGTTCTACGACTGTTTCTCTTAAACCTGTACTGTGAATCTAGCAGTTGGTTTGGAAACCTTGATAACAAAGAAATGGACATACACCAAGATATTCCTGGTTACAAAGGGATGGATGTGTTCAGCTATCAAATATCATCGATATTTAGTAATCTCCAGTATGTCTGATCATCTTATTTAGTTCCTTAAGATTACAACACTTAATTAAGCCATGCTTGACTCAAACTTATTCACTAATCTACCAATCTAAATCGTATACAATGAGCTAAATAATGTTCAACATAGATATGATTAAATTTTATTTCTTTGCAAAAGACTATATAGCTTTAACTAATTTCATTAAAGTAAATCACATTTGGAACACTAGTGTAAACCTCAAATGTATCATTTTAACTGAATTTTCCTAGTTAACAAGATCATTAGAGAGGATTGTTTGTGCAAATTCGTCAAATAAAAAAGCAGTCGAAAGCAAAACAAAATGGTACTTTAATGGCGGAATCAGAATATCAATAAGCTAAAATTGAGGATCATGATTCACAGTTGAGTTTAGTTTTTTCCTCATTTTCCACCATTCCAATAAACAATACAAACAACAACAAAAGAACTTTACTTGTTTGAAAATCGGCGATGTCAGAAATTTGAAAATGCCTCAAAAAGTTTTGAGCTCATAACAAGGAAATTACCCCAAATTCACACATCTAATTGATTCATCATTCTCGCCGTTTAATGTTTTGACAAAAACAAATCCAAATTTAAAACAATAAAATTATGTATCCGACCCGATTATGAAGCACCAGTATAGGCTCGAATTAGAATCTGGAGATCCTTAAACACTGTGATGGATCTCAAGCAGATAAAAAGGATAAACACTAGATATCTCAAGAGTTCAGTGAGAAAAGACCTTGATTCCAGATTCTAATAACGAAAATCGACTCGGGCTCATTGAAAAAATCAGGAAGGAAAATGACGGGTTTGTTCATAGGAGAACCCTAATCACAAGAACCCAATATAAATTTCGATTTAGCGCAGCTATGACTCGACACGCTTCCATTGAGAGTTTGTAGAAGGCGATCTTAAGGGCTGCGCAAGACCAAAAAAAAACGATACACAAAGCTAAAAAAACATAAACCCTAATTTTAAGAGATTTGGGGATGACAAGTGATGATGATGGTATATATAGTGGGGACTTCTTTTACCCTAGCCCAAGCTCTATTTACGTCTATTGACTATTGGGCTTTAAAGCCCATTTATTTTAGTAGGCCCACAACAACTGTCCAAGATGTGGTGACAAATTAGAGACAATCAATCATATGATCAAACAACTCGGGCGTCGGTTAAGGTATTTTTTTTAACCCTCTTTATTATTTTTTCCGTCCGACAAACGGTTGTAGTTCTGAATCTTTGAGTCGTAATCTCTTCGGTACTCGAATAAACTATTTAGATATTTCGATTTAGAAAATAACTTTCTGTATCAAAAAGGATTTGAACCCGGGACAAAAAAAACTAATTCTTTTTATGTTACTTCTAAGCGACCACATTTTTCGTAACTCTTTTTTTCTTACAAACCAATTATGGTAGTATTACTTAAAACGTGTGAGTTAATTTGAGAGATCTGTTTCCAATTATCCCTATGTACAATATTCCTAATTGGATTATATATCGATAAAGTTATCCCACAGCATTTAATATACCGTCTGATATGATATCTACTGACATAACTAAATACAGTATTAACGATTTGGTATTTTAACGGTATCCGTTCATGTCTTCGATTATTCATGGGTTTTCACTTTTCACCACCGTTATTTACCATAAATGTCTTAAATAAGTAAGAAACAATATTACTACTTTGTAACATATCAAAAACGTGTTTTCCTAGGCGTTTAAAATTTGGAAGTGGGACAATCCGTCTCCGTTCCATTGACATGTTAAAAGTAGTAAATTCGTAATGAAAACATAAAAGATAGTACTATCTATTCAATATGGATTAAATCCTAAAATGGAATATATATAGATAATTCTTGCCGATTACGTTTTTCTTGTAATTATTACGACAGATCTAATTAATAAGGAACACATGCGTTATATCATAGTATACAATATTTACTTTCCAAAAATATTTACTTTCCAAAACTATTGAAACATAGATTACAAATTTACAATACAAAATCAAACGAATATTCATTTCTGTTAAATATTCCAAAAAGTTCAATATCAAACACAATCTTCTCATTCCTCTTCCACATTGCCTATACTCGTTTCTTTCATCTTCTCTCCATCACAAACACAATCGAATATGAGTGCCCTCCAAGAGACACAGTCATCTTCGGCGCCTCCGCCGAATCCTGACCCACCTTCGCCGTTGAAAAATATCATATCGGTGGCTTCAATCGCCGCCGGTATTCAGTTTGGTTGGGCTCTACAACTCTCTCTCCTGACTCCTTACGTGCAACTTCTCGGAATCCCACACAAATGGGCATCTCTCATATGGCTATGTGGTCCTGTCTCCGGCATGATTGTTCAACCTATCGTCGGTTACTACAGCGACCGTTGCACTTCAAGATTCGGTCGTCGCCGTCCTTTCATCGCCGCCGGAGCCGCTCTCGTCGCTGTTGCAGTTATCTTAATCGGATACGCAGCTGATCTCGGACACATCATGGGAGATAAACTCGACAAGACTCCAAAGACATGGGCCATATTAATCTTTGGTCTATGGTTTTGGTTCCTTGACGTTGCTAACAATACACTTCAAGGACCTTGTCGTGCTTTCCTTGGAGATTTATCAGCCGGAGACGCTAAAAGAACGCGTCTCGCAAACGCGCTTTTCTCTTTCTTTATGGCGGTTGGAAACATTTTGGGATACGCGGCTGGATCCTACACGAACCTTCACAAGATTTTTCCTTTCACGATGACTAAAGCTTGCGATATCTATTGCGCAAATCTCAAAAGCTGTTTCTTCCTCTCCATAACTCTCTTACTTATCGTAACAATCACATCGATATGTTACGTGAAAGACAAGCAATGGTCACCGGAGAAAGAAGCTGATGACTCCGACGAGGTCAAGAAAACTCCGTTCTTCGGTGAGATCTTTGGAGCTTTTAAAGTCATGAAACGTCCCATGTGGATGTTACTGATCGTCACGGCTTTAAACTGGATCGCTTGGTTTCCTTTTCTTTTGTTCGATACTGATTGGATGGGTCGTGAAGTTTACGGTGGAGATTCAGGAGGAGATTCTAAAATGAAGAAACTTTATAACCAAGGAGTCCATGTTGGTGCGTTAGGGTTAATGTTAAATGCAATAGTTCTTGGTTTTGTGTCTCTTGGTGTTGAATGGATTGGTCGGAAAATGGGAGGAGCTAAACGGCTTTGGGGTTTTGTGAATTTTATACTCGCCGCGTGTTTGGCTTTTACGGTTTTGGTTACAAAGTTGGCCGAGGCTCACCGGAAAACCGCCGGTCCGTTGGCCGGACCGACCAGTGGTATTAGAGCTGGTGCATTATCTCTCTTTGCTATTCTTGGAATTCCTCTTGCGGTACATACCAATTTTTGTTATTATTATCATTGATCCATTGGTTAATTTGTTTTTTTTTTTAATTATTAACCTTTTTGTGTTATATTGTTATAGATTACTTTCAGTACTCCGTTTGCACTAGCTTCGATATTATCAAGCGACTCCGGCGTCGGCCAAGGTATTTTTAAAAACTTTTTATTTTTACTTTTAGGTTACAAAACTACTATTTTGTAACAATAAATATAGTTGGTTGAGAGATACTATCTGTTTCCAATTATCCCTGTGAGAAAGTTAATTTTCCTTTGTTGACAAGGAAAAAAAAAGTAAATATTTTTAGATTTATTTTTTCCCTAATTGAACTGTATCTACAAATTTATCCAAAGCGGTTACTGTAGGATGGATAGTATCTGCCAACTTAATTATAGTATTGATGAACTTGATCAAAGCATTTACTGTAGGATTGATGTTTCTTATGGAATCCGTTCATAGCATGAGTACTTCATGGATTTCATATCCACCATATATATATATACAAATTGCCATAAACTTATTAAATAAGAAACATCATTCTTTTGTAACATACTATCAAACTAAATGGTGTTTTTGATATATCTTTCTTTGTAATGTTAATTCTATAGGACTTTCTCAAGGAGTTTTAAATTTGGCAATTGTTGTACCACAAATGGTGGTATCACTTGGAGCTGGATCGTTCGATGACTGGTTTGGAGGTGGAAACTTACCAGGATTTGTTCTTGGAGCAATTGCAGCGGCAATAAGTGCCGTAGTGGCATTATTCGTTTTACCTTAAGTTTCTTTGTTTATTTTCATAGACCCGGTTCTAGTATTTTGAAACCCTAGAACAAGGCCCTAGTTTAAATTCTTGTTTTGTTTCCAAGACTTTCTTATTTTCCTCATAGATTATGGTGGTATTAATATTCATGATTTCCTTCAAAACTAAAAGATGCTATAAATGAACAACTATCCACTACATAACTTTTTTTTTAAATCGTCTAGATTTATGAATTATTAAAAATTATTAAGACAATTGCACGGACAATTATTACAAATACGTAACCTTTAAAACATGTAATCAATATCAAATATAAATTTGATTTTAGTCGGTTTAGACGTTCATAAAA